TCTCTGTTCTTCCTAAATTAGTTTTAAAACATTTCACAAATCCAGTTTGAAAGAATACTATCCCAATGAAGAACTCCAGGTTAAATCTACGTAAAGCAAAAAATTCATTTCATAATAAGAATGACCGTCCATTAACTTCTATGTTCTGTCAACAAAACATCCTATACCCAAAAGATATTACTCAAAGTCAACACTCTGTCTCAACACAAACTTTTCCTCTTTGTTCACTCCTCCTTATATCCTAACTGTTCTTTCGAGTAATTTCACTCAGATGTCTAAACCATCCCTTTAACATTACCATTTATTTCTATAGCAAAGGTGGTTCAAAGAACTAAGTGATTCTTGTCTACCCACTATCAGCATGGCTAAACCACACTGCCCATTTGGGTTAATAATGCCCAAGGTCAAACAGAGGTTGACAGTCCATGATCAAAGCAAGCTGGCTATTCTTTCTGTCATTTATATAGAACACACAAGATGTGTTTATTTTTACCAGCCTCTGAATGACCTCCTTTAGGTGGCACAGAAAAGATCCCACATCTCTATAAAGCATTAACCAAAGGAGTTTTCTTATTCAATACTCTCATTAAGAGCAAATTTTATTTTTTTGAAACTTTTGATCTTTTTCATTTATTCAAGAGCCCCTCAAGTTAAAGGCCATATTGTCTAAATCAAATTGGTGTAATGAATAAAACAAGGACAGGGCAACTAGCAAAGGCTCAAGAAGAAAGAGTATACATCCAACAGGCCGCCATCACAAAATATGGGGCTCATTAGCGACTTTTTTCAAAACTACTGAAGGCAACAGCATCTAAGATTTCAAGTTCAAAAGGCAGCCCCTCCCCCCACAAAATCACTCAACTCCATTTTCACTACTAACACTCCTACTCCTTATCAAGCTGAACACTAGTAACACAAACACTGTAAAAACCCTCATAATCCGATCAACTAGAAGAGAGCCAGTATAAAGCACTGAGCAGCCCAGCCTACAGACAAATACAGACGGCCATCTTCCTATCCCGTATGCTACTTTGCCTAGATTAGGAAATTATTTAAAGATGGAATATTTTATCATCAGCACTAGTTATAAAATGAAGACTTCCAAGTAATTTTAAGCCAATATTCTCTTTGGCCAGCCTTAAATAAAACTCCCCACAATACACAGCATGAAGTTTGACCACCACCACCACCGGGGTCGGGGGAAGGGGGGCAGGAATCAGTCCATGGCTACCTTGTCAGGATTACACAATTCATGGATCTGAATCAAGGAGATCAATGATTCAAGAATTTTGATACCAATGGTATCAATCACATAAAAGAGGGTAAATCCCTTAAAGTTATCTTTCTTCGTTCCTGTTAAAATGAGATGGTTGACTGGCTGGTGGCTCAACAGAGAGAAAAATGAGATGATAAGTGATTAAAGACAAACTATTAAATACCAGACATACACTGGAAGAGACAAAAAGGCAGAAGGTCAGAAATGACGACACTCAGGAAATGAGTGGCAAAGTGACGCCATCATTATTTGTGCAAGATCTAGGCTCACCTTTGTGAATCTCTAAATTTGAGCTTAAGGGATTAAGTGAAGCAGAACAAGGAGAAGGGAAATAGTCCAACAGACTCTCCTAGAATTTCAGTGTTGTCTCACTACATCAGACTCTCCTAGAAATTCTGTGTCGTCTCAATACGTTAAAAAGAACCCAGGTGAGAGAGGAGGCTGAAGGGAAAGGATACAGCGTAACGTAAGGTACGTGAGAGTTTACAAAGTATCCATCTTCATTTTCCTTTGTTACGGGATGGTGATGACCAGGGAGAAGGCATCGGAATGAAGGGAAAAACTTGACAAGAGACGGTTATCTATCACTGAACGTCCCTAAATGTACACATGTCGCTTGAATTTGACATTTTCTCAGTGCTAATTGTTATTGTGTCTTTTAGCAGATTATACTTATTCTGGAAACAAAGCAAATGCTAACATAGATGTTCTGTTAACAAGAACTAGTTGTGATTATCAAAAGACTTCAAAACCATTAAAAAAAAAAAAAGAAAACATTTAATCACCTGTAACCCTGTTTTTACACTTTCTTTCAATCAAGCAGAAGAGCGCATTAAAGGAACCTATGCTGGCCGGCACCGGCTCTGCAGTGGTTCAAATGACAGCTCTCTGAAGGGGTCACTTCACCGAATCATTCGAACACCAGGTCATTACTGAGAACCACACTCACTGCCCGGTTCATGTACATAACAAAACCCACTGACACAAGCTATATTTTAGGTTCTAAATAAACTTTGAGAAACAGTCTAGCAGCACAGCCATTAGTTACATTACAAAATGGAGAATCCGAGAAACTAAATTCTTTGGATTCTGTACTGAGGGGGTATCAGCAGCACCAAAATATCTTTACATCTTATTTACCCTTCTCAGAGGGAAAGAGTAGATAACCCGGGGACATGACAGACTTCTCGGGAAATGAAAAGCATTCTTTCGAAACGAGCAGCATCTAGGAATCCTCGTTTGCAGCTCGCGGTCACTCCTCCTCCTCCTCCTCCTTCTGACCACAACTCAACTCCCCTGTGCCCACCCTGCAGCACCTCCACCGCTTCTGCTTCCCACCACAGTGCCAGTAAGAACTCTTCTCCGTTCCTTCTGTAGTTTCTGACTTGAGGATGCCATCCCATTCAGCTATCACTTCTACGCAAAAAAATATAAAATCCTTATCTCTCAGTCCTGGTCTCTGATAATGGCCTACCTGACAGCTTTTCCTGGGAAGCACAGCAACAAAATGGTTAGACACAGTGACTCTGGGCTGCCTAGGGTAAAAGTCCCCACTCCCACCTTTATGACCAGCCTTAGAGAACTTCCTCTGGAAAAGAGACGCTTCGTCTGTAGAAGCAGAATAAAACTGTCACCTGCAAGTCAGGGACAGACTGTGAGAATTGCGCTGGGTGATGCCCAATTAAGGACAGCATTTCGGACGCACCCGGCACTCAGAAGGACTCGATAAGGATCAAACAGGACCATCACTTTATCGGAGCACTTAGCTGTGGCTTCAAATAACGGCCTGTTCGAAACCAAAACACGTCTTCCCTCCAGCTGCACTCGCCATTGGGCACTCCCCACTGCATTCAAGCCGCGGGTCTCGGAGTCATACTTCACAATGTTGAAAGTAGAAAGAATTCTTCCTTCTTCAGTCAACTCCTTCCTTCCAAATCCAAGTGCCTCTCCAGGAGATGAGGCCAACAGCCCCTCCACTAGCACAGCTCATCCCCGCACCCAAGCATCCTTCGCACTGCTCCAGGAATCAATCCCAAGAGACCAAGGGAGCAAACACAGCTAGAAAATGAGTATTTCTTTTAAATTACTTTGTATAGTAGTATAACAACAAAAAATATTACTGCACAGGTAAAAGGAGAATGGACAGATTTAAAAATAACAATAATAATAATGGTACTGGGACAATGAAACTGTCCCTACATTGTTAGGAGAAAAGATCTGAAACATGTACAGATGCTAGAGGAAGAAATTACACACTTCTGGAGGGTCAAAGGACACCTAAATACCTTATTCACGAACTGGAAAACTCAAAATGTAGAAAGATGCCAATTCTCCCCTCAAAGTCATCAAGATAGTCTCTCTAATGACAACCAGAATCACAAGAGTATTTTCCTTGAACTTCGAACCTGGTATTAAATTTATATAGAAGGGCAAAGGACCGAGAAAAGCCAAGACACTCTTGATATCTACCAAATATTTTGGCTTAGTATGAATCTGTATTAATCACTGACTGTGTACAATCATGCCAGAATAAAGAAAGAGGTCAACGGAACCAGAGAGAGTGTCCAGGGACAGACCCAAACATCTATGGACACTCAACACGACAGAGTGGGCAATACTCAGAAAAAAAGGAAAAGAATGGATTTTTAAGAAACAAGAAAAGATACTGAAGAAATTCAGTGATTACATGGAAATAAAATAAAATTGGACCTTCTTGCTGGGACAACACCACAAAAATTAACTCTAGATGGATTACAAATTTAAATGTAAGAAGTAAACACCATGAGACATTTAGATGACAATACTAGAGAATATCCTAACTTCAAGACAGAGAAAGTCTTCTTAAATAGTAAGAGCACAGACTCAAAAGAAAAAAATAAATTTTAACCCAGAATTTCTCTTCATCCTAAGATACCATCAAAGAAAGTGAAAAGACAAGTCACAATTGATGTTTGCAGCCTGTATAACACGGAAAGACAACTCAACAGGAAAAAATATTTAAAAAGCCATTTCACAAAAAAAGTAAGTCCAAATGGCTAATAAACATATAAAAAGATGCTCAACATTTTTAGGAGTCACAGAAATGCAAATTAAAACCACAGTGAGATATCACCTGTATCACAAGACTACAAAAATTTAGAAATCCGACAATATGAAGAGTTGGCAAGAAAGCAGAACAACTCCACACATCCCTTACTACTCAGAGTAAACACTGGCACGCCCGTCCACGAGAAGGAGCTTGACATTACTAAAGTCTGAACACACACACGCCTGTGACCCAATAATTCAACTCTTAGGTACATAAACTAAAATAACTCTTGCACAAGCACACCAGAAAACACGTTCAAAATATTCACAGCAGAAGTGTTCATAAAAGCAAAACACTGGGAAAACTCTGATCAGTAGTAAGACGAGTAAATGGTAACAAATTCATCCAGTGAAATGTAAGAATGACCAGTGATCTCACATCCATCAAAGGATAAATCTAAAATCCTAATGAGGAAAATGTAACTTCTTACAGTAAAGCACAGTAAAGCTTCATTCTTTATCAGATAAAGTCAAAACAGTATAATCTTACAAGTCCAACTCCTACTCCTTTTGATACATACCAAATATTTATATTAGGGAATTTTTTTAAATGGATTTCCTGAACTTATCTTCACTTATATTTAAAAAAACAAACAAACAAACAAAAAAACAGGAAAAAAAACCAACTTCCACTTACTTAATTGAGTTTCTAAAGTGGTCTTCAGCTGGGTTTTTTACAGTACAACTATTCAGGAGCCATAAATCTGCGTCTGATGCATTTTCTATTAAAAAACAAATATAAAATAGAAATTTCAGTATCACACTTAATCACAGCTTACTCGCACAGCACTGAGACAGACAGAGACCGTGGCAGTCACGTAAACCCATAACTGCCTGACACAAGGTGCCCACTAGACAGCATGTGGAAATATGTGTGAGAAATATAAAAATGTATACCCTGTGCTGTATCTTTTCATTTAAAATATAAAGAAAATAAGCATTTTCTTCCCTTATATTCAATACTTGAGAGTATTTTATTTTCTTTTATTTTCAAAGATGCTATTTGTTTATTTGACAGACAGAGATCACAAGTAGGCAGAGAGGCAGGAAGAGGGAGAAGAAGAAGCAGACGGTCCACTGAGCTGAGAGCCCGATGGGGGGCTCAATCTAGGACCCCGAGATCATGACCTGAGCCGAAGGCAGAGGCTTTAACCCACTGAGCCACCCAGGCGCCCCAATACTTGAGAGCATTTTAAAACTTCCAAAAACTGAAGTGGAACCGGCCTCACCTTCCTTCTGAGTAGGCAAACTCATTGCTCCCTTTTGGACTGTGTCGGTATGTTTCAGGCACAGATATTTTCATATACCAAATATTCTGCAGCCTAAGAAGTTATTAAAAATATACTTTGTCAGGGCACCTGGGTACCATCCTAAGATACCATCAGTGGGTTAAAGCTTCTGCTTTCGGCTCAGGTCATGATCCCAGCGTCCTGGGATCGAGCCCCGCATCGGGCTCTCTGCTCAGCAGGGAGCCTGCTTCCCCACTCTCTCTCTCTGCCTACTTGTGATCTCTGTCAAATAAGTAAATAAAATCTTTAAAAAAAAAAAAAATAAAAAAATATATATATATATATATATATATATATATATACTTTGTCTTCCCTGAAAAAGTTAATGATTTACCTCAAAGTGAAACTTTCATTCCTCTCACCAATTTGATCAAATATTGTTCTGTATGTGGTCCCCCCCAACCCCTACCGCATCCGCAGGGACACATTCCAAGACCCCCCAGGGGATGCAAGAAACCACAGATAACAGGGAACCCTAAAGATGCTATAGGTTTTCCTGCACATACAGATCTGTGATAAAGTTTCATCTACAAATTTGGCACAGTAAGAAAATAACAGTAATAATGAAATAGAACAATTATAACCACATACTCTACAAAAAAAAACTTATGTGAACAGGTATCTCTCTCTCTCCCTCTCTCTAAAAATACCTTATTGTACTCTGCTCACCCCTCTTCCTGTGCTGCTGCGAGATGGTAAATGCCTGCGTGATGAGAGGATAAGACATCTATGTCAGGAAACGAAGGAACGTGAACACATGCACTGGGATGCAGCGGCACGCCGCTACTTGACCTTCTAGCAATATGGCACGGGGGTGGGTGGAGGGGGGTCACCTGCTTCTGGACTGTGGTTGACCGCAAGCACCTGAAACCGCAGGTAAGGGAGAGGGGCCGCTGTACTGTGATAAACTCACCGGCAAAGCAACCAATAACCGCAACCCATCCAGTTTATGAAAGGCCTTTGTAAACGCCTCATGTGTTCACTGCTATCCCCACTACCTTGATGCCTAACGGGACACACTCATTAAAACGGGACGACCACAATGAAAGGAAAACCAAAACTGAAAACCGCAGCACCTTCCATGTATGCCGATGTAGGAGCAGAAGCTAAGGTCAGCGACATGAAGAACCAGGAGGACAAACGGATGTCTGCACGCACACTCTCCTCCTGGGAGGGGAACCTCAAGTGACAGCATGATGCCAAATGGAGGGCGAGCACATCAAAGCTTCTGGTGAACTGGCAAAAATTTTTTTCCAAACATTTGATTATAAAAATCGTGAAATATTTTTATAGAGACAAGAACAAAAAATCCTTGAATCGACTAAAGACAAGGGAAGGTGCTTATTACTATTTATCCCTCCTAACCTGTCTCACTCCTCCCATTCCTATCCCCTAGTCACACCTCACGGTCTAGTTGCCCTCCCAACAGCCAGAGTGATCCTTTCCTTGAGAAATCTGGCCAAGTCACTTCCCTGCTCAGACTCAGAAATGATGGGTACTTACGTCCCTCCCCTATTTCCCTTCCAATCATTCCCCCCAATGGCACCTGAAGACATGCCTCTAATCTCAAACTTCTGATGATTTCCAGTGGTGTTTGAGGACTTTCCAGATTCCAACCACCTCCCCCACGTCAATATTAACTTCTCCCTACCTTCATCTGTCCAGCCACACCAAACCACCCGAAATCCCTAAGGCCTACACTACTCTATCCAGCTAGAGTATCTTTGTTTCCTACCTACCTGGCTCACTCCTCCTCATCCTTCAGCTGGAGCCTGAGGTCTGCAGCTACCTCTTCTCTGCACTCCCACGGCAGACTGGGCATAGACTGTGCTAGCACATTACACTCTGTACTACAATAACTCATTTTTCCAGGCTATTTAAAAGATGCTGAAGACAACATTTTTATCTGCTGCTCTCTGAATGTACAGGGCCTAGCACAGTGATGGGCACAGAAAAAGCATTCAGGGCGCCTGGGTGGCTCAGTGGGTTAAGCCGCTGCCTTCGGCTCAGGTCATGATCTCAGGGTCCTGGGATCGAGTCCCGCATCGGGCTCTCTGCTCAGCAGGGAGCCTGCTTCCCTTCCTCTCTCTCTGCCTGCCTCTCTGCCTACTTGTGATCTCTCTCTGTCAAATAAATAAATAAAATCTTTAAAAAAAAAAAAAAAGCATTCAGACATCCTGGGACGACAAATGAGCACACGTATGTTCAAGAAGAGAGAAGGGTGAGCGCTAACGTGGGACGGCACGCATACGGGACTTCCACCATCTGTTAAAGCTCTGCAGGCAATGCTAATCTTCAGGAATAAGCTTCAAGAAAGTTGCCAGTTTATTTAATAAATACTTAGGGCTGAGACTTTATCTTGCTCACAGCTATACACCCAGCACTTACTATGTACAGCCCCGGGACCTGGTAGGTATCCGTTAAACATGAACTGAGTGAACGCTGAACTGTGAAAGACGACGCTGAACTATGAGCAGCGTGTGGCACAGATAAGGAAGGGTCATGAATGTCTGACCAACAACAGGATAAAAATTAAATAAATAAAGACTAGGCAGTTACTTAAAATAAACAAATAGGGGCGCCTGGATGGGTCAGTCAGTTATGTGTCCAACTCTTGGTTTCAGCTCATGATCTCAGGGTCGTGAGATCAAGCCCCACGTCAGGCTCCACACTCAGCTCAGAGTCTGCTTGAGATTCCTGAGCTCAGCATGGAGCCTGCTTGAGATGGTCTCTCTCCCTCTGCTCCTCTCTCTGCATGTGCTCCCTATGTATGTGCGCTCGCTCGCTCTCTCTCTCTCTCCCTCCAAAATAAATAAATATTTTTAAAAATTAAAGTTAAAAAAAAAACAAAAAACAGCAAAAACCTAAAAACGGAACTATCTGTGCCAGATGCCAGCTTTGTATCCTGGCACATTCTTCTACTCAACCCAGCAACCTCTCACAGTACAGATAAGGCTTACAATACAATACATACCACAACAAAGTCCTCTCGAGGAGAACTCCAGCAGTAAGTAAGGCGAATTATTCTACTTTGTCTGAAATGCTGTCAATGTTGGAACGTACAGACTTTCAAAACAAACTGAATACTATGCTTGGTGATCTAACTGCCATCAACAGGGATCCAATGAATATACCAAAATGCCTATAAAATTACCCAACTTTTTGACCACCCCTCAAAAGAGAATGTCCTTTCCAATGAACACAAGAGTTTCTTAACCAGTTATTTCCAAACTCAGTTTTCTGTTAGTATACCTTAACTTATTATTGTCAAAACACACGATCTACAAGCAAAAATCAGTCAGTAAACCACCATAACACAATGAGGATTTACTATACGCCAGGCTCTCCTCCAGGCACAGGGGAGATGGCTGTGAGAAGAGTTTATATCCTCAAGGAGTTTAGGTCTTGAGGAGGAAGTCTGATGAAAACAAACAACAGAAAAACAAGGTAATTTCAGGTACTGGTCAATGCTATTAAAATGATAAGAGATATTAATGGACAAAGAATAATTAGGTCAGAAGAGTTGAGACTCAAGTAAAAAAACACCATGCAAAGACCATGCAAAAACCAGAAGAAAGAGCATTTTAAGAAGAAAATCCTGCAAGTATAGAGGCCATAAAGTAAAAGTGAACTTGTCATGCTCTAGGACCAGAGAGACCAATGTAGCTGGACTAGACACTGGGAAAGCGGGGACAGAAAGGTCGGAGAGGCAGGCAGCAACCAGAGTATTTGGCAAGTTAAGAACTTCACACTGTATTGTAAAATTACAAAAACTCACCATTGGGTTTCAAACACCTAACTGCTACTTTGGAAAGCCCATTCTAGAAGTGCCAGGAAGACTACGGATGGGGCAAAAGTAAAGACAAATGGGGAAAAAGTAAAGGCAAGAAAACCAGTTGGAAGCTGACGCACGGGTGTAAGAAGGAATATGTGAAAGAACATGGAAAGTTGCGATGGCAAAAGCAAGAAGGCAAATGGGGGCCTATTTCGGAGGCAGAATCAAGAGAATTCACTGACAGATGAGAAAGGAACGGTGCAAGGAGGCATCAAGTAGGATTCCTAAGCACATGGAAGGAATCTGGGCCTGAGCCTCAGTTGTTTGTGGCGCCATTTACTGAAATGAGGAAAGTTTAGAAAGAAACAGATTTGGGGACAAGAGAACCAACAGGGCTCTTGGGGGCAGGGGACACACTCTGTCTGAGTCCCTATTAAATATCCAACTAGAAATACTGATTGGCTTGGTATAAAAGAAACAGAAGCTCAGGCGAGTCTTTCAGGCTGCATAAACAAATGTGAGAATCAAAACCCTACAGAAAATACCTGAATTTACAGAAATGGATGAGCTCACCTAACAAGGAATTACAGGAGGAAAAAAGGAGGACAGAGAAAGCAGTGGAAGACAGAAAGATCTTGCAAAGAAGGGAAAAGGGTAT